TGCCGTGGCATCACAGCTCACAGCAACCTCAAACTCTTGGGCTTAAGCAATTCTGTTGCCTCACCCTCCCGAGTAACTGGGACTACAGGTGCCTGCAACAACACCCAGCTATTTTTTTTTGCTGCAGTTGTCATTGTTGTTCAGCAGGGCCAGGTTCAAACCCGCCAGCCCTGGTGTATGTGGCTGGCACTGTAACCACTGTGCTATAGGCGCAGAGCCATGAGTGATTGATATTTTGACAGGGATTGCATTGAATCTATTGATTTCCTTGGGTACTATCCTTTTTCTTTTAATATTTGTAAATATAGCACTAGGGCCCTCTTACTAGCAATGCTTCTAGTGAGAAATTTCCTCTTATGTAGCTTACCTGTATCTAACATGGTTTTTCTCTCTAGCTTCTTTTAAGTATTTCTTCATCTGGGCTATTTTGTTTGTTTGTTTGTTTGTTTGTTTGTTTGTAAGACAGTCTTATTCTGTGGTCTCAGGCTAGCGTGCTGTGGCAGCCTCTAGCTTATAGTAGCCTCAAACTCCTAGGTTCAAGCCATCTTCCTGCTATTGCTGGACCAAGGAGTCCATCCACCTGTCACCCAAGGCAGTCAATGGAGAAGCAGATGAGAGATCAACACTTTCACTTTTGCTCAGTGCCTGTGGCTTAAGCAGCTAAGGTGCCAGCCACATACACCTGAGCTGGTGGGTTCAAATCCAGCCCAGGCCCACCAAACAAAAATGATGGCTGCAATCAAAAAATAGCCGGGCATTGTGGTGGGCGCCTGTTGTCCCAGCTACTTGGGAGGTGGAGACAGGAGAATGGCTTGAGCCCAGGAGTTGGAGGTTGCTGTGAGCTGTGGTGCCATGGCTCTCTACCCAGGGCGACAGCTTGAGGCTCTGTCACAAAAAACAAAAAAAAAACAGTTTCACTATTATTTACAGAAAAGCCAGAAATTCTAGAGAACAGCAAGGGTGTCTCCTCAAAGAGCTCCTCTGCCCTCCTGTTTTTCTTTGTTACTTTTACCCTCACAGTAAGAGTCACATCGGCAATGTTATTACTCATCATAGGATATGTTAATCAGATTCCTCCTCACAGCTTACAAGGTTACACAATATCCTCCTATCTGAAAGTGGTTATATCTTCAAAGAATTGTATTCTAGACTAAATTTATACTTAGTGAACACTTCACTGGGTGCACAGAGTGCTCTGGGTCCTTGATCAGTACCATGGAGTCCAGTTCCCCAGTGTATCTATGACAGCAGACCATAGAAGTGAATAAATAATCTCCAGATGGCTGCACGTGGGCTCAGCCAGCCTGGTGAGGGCCTGACCAGCAGCACCCTGCGTGAGATGGCCATTTAGGTGAACAGTGGCTGGTGACCCTGCCTCAGCCTACTGAGTAGCTGGTAACCCTGCCTCAGCCTCCAGTGATCATAGCTCATCGCAACTCTACAGGTGTCCACCACAACACTCAGCTTATTTTTCTACTTTTAGTAGAGATGGGGTCTTTCTCTTGCTAAGGCTGGTCTCGACCTTCTGACCTCAAAAGAACCTCCCACCTTGGCTTCCCAGAGTGCTAGGATTATAGG